GCGGTTCAAACCCACCAGCCACTCCTCGGAAGGAAGGTTGGGCAATCCTACTTCCATAGTGATACTGCCTCAGAAACCCAAGGAGGGGTCACTATGGTCGGGGTCGACTCGACGGCAAACAACAGCAACAACAGCTTTGGTGTTAGTCACTTGTTTTCGGTGTTCATCTGTGTCCTACCTGACAGTGAACGTGAGCATGCTGGAGCCTTACTTCAAATGCAATGGCTACAAGGGCTACCGCCTGGTCTTCAGCCCCCAGAATGGCTTCACGTGTGTGTCCCCGTGCAGTGAGGGCTATTGTGAGCATGGAGGCCACTGCCAACACCTGCCCAAAGGACCCCACTGCAGGTGAGTGTGTCAGGGGACAAGAGGAACAAGAACAGTAGTGAAGAATCTAGGCTGGTTAAAGATACTGCAAGGGTTCCAAAAAATGCCATGGTATCTCATGGTATGTGGAAATTAGGATGGTGCTTGAGAACAGGGATCAGAGAAAGGGGGACAATGGAAAAGATTTGTGAGTGCCTTAATGGGACTTAACAACACCAACAACACTCTGTATGAGAACTATATTATCTCTAAAATGCAAACAAGCCACAGGTGAATATTATTATGACCATTTTAAAGATGAGAAAACTGCAGCTTAGGGATAATAAGTAACCTGTCCAAGGGACCCAGGAAGCTAAGCAGTAGGGTATGGCTTCCAAAGCCAAAGTCCTTTCCCTCTTCTATCTGATTTTGCTTCTTGGATGGGCAACCTGCTGTCTCCTTGTGGAAGAGTAACTGGCTTGAGTCTAGGCCTAGCCCTGCCCCTCTCTAAAGTTAATCAGTGAGGGGAGGTCATCTGAAACTGGTGCCCTAGGTCCTATTTGTTCATTCAGAGTCTGAGGGTCTCTCAGTAAGTCTACAGGCTAGGGAGAAGATGGGCAACACTACTTCCGGGCTCTGAGTGCAGCCTGCCCTCAGCCTACTGGGTCCCCACCATAGTTCCGGATTCGGCCCATCTGGTCTGCCCCAGCTAGGCAAGGAAGAGGGCAGGTGGAGACAAAGGGGCTAGCTCTCTGGGGACAGGGTTTGGGACGGGGTTAGAGGCAGGGTTAGGGGCGGGGCTCAGCAGCCCCAGGCAGGCTGGGCTTGTGATTTCCAATGTTCATCTGTGGCTGGCCAACCCTCTCATACTGGCACTCAGGGACCTGACTCCAGGAGAATTCACACTCTCTTTTTTTAAGGCCCACGCCTCCTTTGCCCAGTGGCCTAGTTTCAGGACGGCCTCAGGGCTGATTCTGGCCTCTCTCTTTAGTGGATGAGCCTAGCCTGACTTGAGGAGCTCTGGTAGCGTAGTGCCTAAGGCACTTGACTGCTAACCAGAAGGCTGGTGGTTCAAACCCACCAGCCACTCCTCGGAAGAAAGGTTGGGCAATCTACTTCGGTAGTGATACCGCCTCGGAAACCCAAGGAGGGGTCGCTACGAGTCAGTCCGACTTGACGGCACATAACAACAACAACCTGACCTGGAGAACCGCTTCTACCTCCACAAAAGAGGAGAAGATGGGAAGGTTAAGGGTGGGCCTTCCCGCTACTGACCGCCCTCCCTCTCTGTTCACAGCTGTGCACCTTTCTCCATCTACGCTCCCTGGGGCGAGCGCTGTGAGCTCCTAAGCATGAAACTCGGGGCGTTCTTCGGGATCCTCTTTGGGGCTTTGGGCGCCCTCCTGCTACTGGGAGTCGCGGAGTTTGTGGTCCTGCGCTTCTGGAACTGCTCCAGGACCTGGGACTCCTATCCCCTGGACTCGGAGAGCTGAGGCCTCTCCCCAAATGGAGCAGCTGTGGCCTAGGTTACCTCAGGACCACCTCATCCTCACCTGCACACCTCCTGGTGCCTTTGCTTTGGGGAAATTAGAAAAGAGAAGATAAGTGAAGGCGATTCGGGATTCTTCAAGGAGAATGGTGGCAATAAGACTGGACTACACCCTGTCAGTACATAAAAACATACTACATAAATGAATGGGTTATTTACGGACACATCCTCAAGGGAGGACACTGACCAACACACATACACATATGCACACAGAGAGAAACTATATACGTATCAGAATTTATATGTGTTGATGGCTCTAAGTTAAAAATCAAAATGTTTTTGCACACAGAACTCTGTGATTCCCTTCTAATTAAAATCTATTTAAATATAGTCCCTCTGACTTCTTCTGTCTCCAAAGCCATAGATTCCGTTTGTGCTTTTCTTCTGGTACCTGAAGGGCTAAACATAGGACCTTTTCTCACCCGTCAGAAGACAGGATGTGGGGAATAAGTGTTGGGCAGGTGGTGGGGAGGATCCAGTCTTGCTTCACCCTTAGTTACTTCATATAGGGAAGCCTCCATTGCTCCAGCCCCAACTTGAACTCTTGCCACAGCCTCAGTATCACCTTGTTCCCCTACTCTAACGCATACCAAAGCCTGGTCCTCTGAAGAGGGCATAGTTACCTCCCATATGGCAGTTCCCACATTTTCCCCCAGGAATCCCCCCTGCCTTGCTGATTTCTGTCCATTAGTTTCACCAAAAAAAAAAAAAAAAGACAAAAGGATAAATACCTCATGCCTTTTCAAGGAGCTCTGGTGGCATAGTGCTATTTGGCATAGTGACATTTGACTGTTAACCAGAAGGCTAGTAGTTCAAACCCACCAGTCACTCCTCGGAATGAAGACTGGGCAATCTACTTCCGTAGTGATACCACCTCAGAAACCCAAGTAGGGGTCACTATGAGTTGGAACCAACTTGAGGGCAGTGAGTCTGGTTTTGGTTTTTTCCTGTTCTAGTTCCTGTCCCTAATGTCTGTGTTCCTTGGATAATGGATTGAACCATTTCAGCTCCCTTTCCAGGAATCAACTTGAGAAGCATGCCATTCACCCCATCCTTAGATCTGGGGTATCCAATCCCTAGAATACTGTCTACAACCTTTCCTGGGCCCAAGGTGGAGACTTCTTTTTTTTTTTTTTTTTAATTGTGATTTGGGTGAAGATTTACAGAGCAAATTCACAGTTCCCTGTTGATGTACTACTACAACCATTTTTGAATTAAGCAAAATTTTACTTGCATGTGATATTAATGATATTGTTCAATAATTTCAGCATTCTATTGACACATTTGTTTAGAATAAGCACAAATATAGATCTCTTCCAGTTAGTTGGCCAGGTAGCTGTCTTCCAAATTTCTTGTCATAAAATAGTGAAAGCCCCCACCACTGCATCTGCTTGTTGAAATATCTCAAAGGTATTCCATCAATTCCTAGAGCCTTGCCTTTCACTAATTCCTTCAGTGCAGCTTGAACTTCTTCCTTCAATACATTGGTTCTTGATCATATGCTACATCCTGAAATGATTGAATGTGGACTTTTTCTTTTTTTTTTTTTTTTTTTTGTATAGTGACTGTGTATACTTTCATCTTCTTTTGATGTCTTCTGCATCATTCAATATTTTGCTCATGTTGTTGTTGTTGTTGTTATGTGCCATCAATTCAGACCCGACTCATAGCGATCCCTCCTTGGGTTTCCGAGGCTGTATCTCTACAGAAGCAGATTGCCCAACCTTCCTTTTGAGGAGTGGCTGGTTAGCAGTCAAAGCCTTCTGGTTAGCAGTCAAGTGCCTTAGGCACCATAGAATCCTTCAAGATTGCAACTCAAGGCTTAAATATTTTCTTCAATTCTTTCAGCTTGAGAAATGCTCAATGTGTTCTTCCTCTTTTGTTTTCTAACTCCAAATCTTTGCACATTTCATTATAACACTTTACTTTGTTTTTGCAAGCTGCCTTTTGAAATCTTCTGTTCAACTCTTTTACTTCATCATTTCTTCCATTCGCTTTAGCTACTCTCCATTCAAGAGCAAGTTTCAGAGTCTCTCCTGGCATCCATTTTGGTCTTTTCTTTCTCTCCTGTCTATTTAATGACGTTTTGCTTTCTTCATGTATGATGTTCTTGATATCACCCCACAACTCATCAGTCATTGGTGTTCAATGTGTCAAATCTATTCTTAAAATGGTCTCTAAATTCAGGTGGAATATACTCAAGGTTGTGCTTTGGCTCTCCTGGACTTTTTAATTTTCTTCAGGTTCAATTTTGTTTGTTCCACAGTCAGCTCCTGACTTTGTTCTGGCTGGTGATACTGAGCTTCTCCATCATCTCTTTCCACAGATGTAGTCAATTTGATTCCTGAGTATTCCATCTGCTGAGATCCACAGGTATAGTTGCCATTTATGTTGTTGTAAAAAGGTATTTCCAATGAATAAGTCATTGGTCTTGCAAAATTCTTTCATGACATCTCTGCTGTCATTTTTTCACCAAGGCCATATTTTCCAACTACTGATGCTTCTTCTTTGTTTCCAACTTTCACATACCAATCACCCATAATTATCAATACATTTTGATTGCATGTTTGGTCGATTTCAGACAGCTGAAGTTGGTAAAAATCTTCAATTTCTTCATCTTTGGCTCTTTAGTGATTTGTGCACAAATTTGAATAATAGTATTAACTGGTTTTCCTTGTAGGCGTATGGATATTATCTTATCACTGACAGCATTGTACCTCAAGACGCATCTTAAAATATTCTTTTTAATGATAAATGTGATGCCATTCCTCTTCAGTTCTTGGCACAGTAGACCATATGACTGTCTGATTTAAAATGGCCAATAACAGTCCATCTCAGCTCACTAATGTCTGGGATATTGATCTTTATATGTTCCATTTCATTTTTCACAACTTCCAATTTTCTTAAATTCATACTTCATACATTCCTTGTTCTGATTATCAACAGCTGTTTGCAGATCTTTCTTTTCATTTTGAGTTATCCCACATCAGAAAATGAAAGTCCCAGAAGTTTTACTTCATGTATGCCATTAAGGTCAACTCTACTTTCAGAAGGCAGCTCTTCCCCAGTGGTATTTTGAGTGCCTTCCAACCTGAGGGTCTCATCTTCTGGCACTATATCAGACAATGTCTTACTGCTACTCATAAAGTTTTCTGTGGCCAATTTTTCCCAAAACAGCAATTGGCCACATCCATATTCCTAGTCTGTCTTAGGGTGGAAGCACCACTGAAAGTGTCCGCCATTGGTGACTCTACTGGTATTTGAAGTGCCAGTGGCATAGCTTCCAGCATTACAGTAACACATAAGCCACCACACTATAACAAACTTACAGATGAGTGGTGTCTGTTGTTGTTGTTGTTGTTATGTGCCGTCGAGTCAAACCTGACTCATAGCGACCCCTCCTTGGGTTTCCGAGGCAGTATCACTACAGAAGTAGGATTGCCCAACCTTCCTTCCGAGGAGTGGCTGGTGGGTTTGAACCGCCAGCTGTCTGATTAGCAGGCAAATGTCTTAGCCACTATGCTACCAGAGCTCCCTCTGTTGTTGTTGTTGTTGTTATGTGCCGTCGAGTCAACCCCAACTCATAGCGACCCCTCCTTGGGTTTCCAAGGCAGTATCACTACGGAAGTAGATTGCCCCATCTAGGGCAACTCAGTTCCAGATATATGCAGAGACTAGGTAGGGTAGAGGTCTCCTGGTTCTAAAGCCTAGAAAGAGAGATTGGTCCTGAAGAAAAAATCCAATTGGTTCAGTTTAGGTCAGTTGTCAATCTTTAGTCTTATCAAATGTGACAAAAGATTAAGAAGAGCTGTCACCTGATATAAACATGGATGCCCAGGCTCACTATTGTGGGTGGGTTAGTAATATTGTGGGAAGTTCTCAGAGAACTCAGATCAAAAATGTCTGCTGTACCTAGAGAATGACTTCTCCCAGCAAGTGAAGCCACATGCCCATGTACAGAGCTGTGGTTTCACCCTCCTAGACCCCAAAGTGAGGACTTTGTAATGTGACTCAAGGTCAGGAAGGGGAAGACACACTTGTAGCATAAAGTCCAAAAGTTACACTAGTATCAGTCTCATCCTAAGCCCAGCAAGGCCTCTTGGCAAGAGAATAACTCATGCTATACAAAACATATGATTTTTATAGGTAATGTGTGTTAACAAATACAGGGAAAGGAACCAGAAAGAGCAAAAGCAAGGTAGCAAATGGAGAGCAAGGCCACTCCAACTCTAAAGTCCTTTCTCCTCTCATCCATCTCTATATACTCCACCCAGAGTGTTGGGGATATGGGAAGACAGCTCATGCCAAAGGCAGTGGAGATGTCAAGGGTATGAAATAACCAGGAAATCCTTATTCTAAGAAAAAAAAATCTCATTGTTTATTTGAAATTCAAATTTAACTGGATGTCCTGTATTTTATCTAACAACCCTACTTAGAAGGACTAAGGCACTGGCTATATAGGAGAAGGAGATATCACAAGAAAGGAGGAAGAGGTTTGTGGGGGACAACTGCTCCCAGCTTTGTGAATGATGCAGTTAGATCAAGGATACAATTCCAAATTTTTATCAGATTACATCCTGACTCCATATGGTTTGGATTCTGGTGCTCTGGCACTTGGAATAAAGAATTGACCAGCCTTTCTTCAAGGTGCTGTGTTTGCTTGGCAGAGAGAAGGGAGTATACCACTCACCCCTACCCCTAGTTGATGACAGTCTGCTAAGACACCTTAATGGGCACTGGGGAGACAAAGGGAGCTGTCTGGGTTGATTCTTGGCCAGAGATGCAGGGCTCCTTATCCATTCTTCCCTACTCTCAGAAGAACCTTCCAGAAACTCCTAATAGGCTTAATGACCTGCATACAAATGACAGATAACTGCAGTATGTACCAATTTAAACCTTTGTTGATACCAAGAAATGATGGCTGCTCATTTAAATTTGGGTCAC